TGAAGGATTAAATAAAGAATTTGGCAGATTTTATGCAAAATTGTTTTGATATTCTCTGTGTATATTGCAAATGAAGTAAAAGGGATTGTCAGTGATCAGGAATTAATCCCAGCATTACTGATAGACTAGGACTATTATATACATAATATATAAACATTTATCATAGAAATACATTGCAAATGAGTTAAAGAAATTATCAGAGGACAGGAATTAATCCCAGCATTACTGACAGAATAAGGCTATTATATACATAATATATAAACATTTACAATAGAAATGCATTGAAAAAAGGTGATGAATTAAGGTTTACTGACAAGAAGTAATCTTATGTTTTTTTCTAATGATATTGATTTCATTGTTTTTACTAAAAATTCAACATTAATACTGGCATCAGTATTCCTGTATTTTACCTGTGAAATGTCATTAACTTCAAATAATGTCACATTTTAGTTAATAGTCAAAAAGTGATTACATTATACCTATTTAATTAAATAGTTAATATGCTGTTAATCATGGAAAAAATATTAACATTCCAAGATTTATTGGGAAGAACCATTAACATTCCAAAATCGGTTTGAATAAATGAACCCTGTGTATCGTCGATGTTGTCACCATATTTTTTCAGCCAGTCTATTTTGTATCCTTCTTCCAATTGGAAAGCAGGGGCATTTTTTAAAAACAGAAAATAGGAGTTCAGATATCAACTGACTTTGGTTTATTCCTTTCTCCAGTTATGGGTTAGATAGCAAGATATTGTTTAGCAGAAAGTCTAGGAGAAGGAAAATTCTGAATTCAAACCAGTGCCATGGAGTGTTAGCATTGACTTCCTTTTATTGGATTTTGGTGTGGCCTTTCAATGTAACTAATCTTCTACCAGCAATCCTGGGCCTCACCTTGATGCTGGATTCCGGTGGGTATAACAAGAGGGTAGCTTTGAAGCTGTGCACCTCTTTATTTCACTTAAAAATCCACTTATGCACACTGTTCCTTCTTGAAGTGTTCCAAGAAGCATTACTCAGCATAAACATTTCCAAGACAGAAACAGTGATCTGGAATTGTAATGAAAGCAGTGATGGCACATAACTTGAATCCATCATAAATATTCAGGATGTGGAATAAGTAAATACTAAATAGTTCAGATACCTCAGTGTATAGATCAGTTGCAACAAATTTAGTTTCAGAGATAAGAAAATTGAATATTGGAGAGGCTGTGCTCGGGGTATTTTTGTTTGACACTAAGAGGCTACAAAGCCAAAACTTTAAACTAAAATCTAGAGTCTAAATTTTAAATTGATATTTAAAGCTATTTAAAATTTAGACTCACATATAAATGTCATGTATAACATCTAACTAGTTCAGAAATGTCTAAACTATTAGCTTTCATTGTTTTTAAAAAGAAAATACTGAACTAATTCATTCATAATATTTCAATTTCTTTCATTTTTGTTTCATTCTCTTTTGAAAAAAAATACTAAAACTAATTCATTCATAATATTTCAATTTCTTTCATTTTTTTTCATTGTCATTGAAAAGAAAAAATACTGAACTAATTCATTCATAATATTTCCATTTCTTTCATTTTTCTTTCATTCTCTTTTGAAAAGAAAATACAAAAACTAATTCATTCATAATATTTCAATTTCTTTCATTTTTCTTTCATTCTCTTTTGAAAAGAAAATACAAAAACTAATTCATTCATATTTCAATTTCTTTCATTTTTCTTTCATTCTCTTTTGAAAAGAAAATACAAAAACTAATTCATTCATAATATTTCAATTTCTTTCATTTTTCTTTCATTCTCTTTTGAAAAGAAAATACTAAAAATAATTCATTCATAATATTTCAATTTCTTTCATTTTTTTTTCATTCCCTTTTGAAAAGAAAATACTAAAAATAATTCATTCATAATATTTCAATTTCTTTCATTTTTCTTTCAGTCACTTTTGAAAAAAAATACAAAAACTAATTCATTCATAATATTTCAATTTCTTTCATTTTTCTTTCATTCACTTTTGAAAAGAAAATACTAAAAATAATTCATTCATAATATTTCAATTTCTTTCATTTTTCTTTCATTCCCTTTTGAAAAGAAAATACAAAAACTAATTCATTCATAATATTTCAATTTCTTTCATTTTTCTTTCATCCTCTTTTGAAAAGAAAATACAAAAAAAAAATTCATTCATAATATTTGAAAAAGAAAATACTAAAAAAAATTTTCATAATATAACATTTTTTCATTTTCTTTCCTTTTTTGAAAAGAAAATACAAAAACTAATTCATTCATAATATTTCAATTTCTTTCATTTTTCTTTCATCCCCTTTTGAAAAGAAAATACAAAACTAATTCATTCATAATATTTCAATTTCTTTCATTTTTCTTTCATTCTCTTTTGAAAAGAAAATACAAAAACTAATTCATTCATAATATTTCAATTTCTTTCATTTATCTTTCAGTCTCTTTTGAAAAGAAAATACAAAAACTAATTCATTCATAATATTTCAATTTCCTTCATTTTTCTTTCATTCTCTTTTGAAAAGAAAATACAAAAACTAATTCAATCATAATATTTCAATTTCTTTCATTTTTCTTTCATTCCCTTTTGAAAAGAAAATACAAAAACTAATTCATTCATAATATTTCAATTTCTTTCATTTATCTTTCAGTCTCTTTTGAATAGAAAATACTAAAACTAATTCATTCATAATATTTCAATTTCTTTCATTTTTCTTTCATTCTCTTTTGAAAAGAAAATACTAAAACTAATTCATTCATAATATTTCAATTCCTTTCATTTTTATTTCATTGTTTTTGAAAGGAAGATACTGAATTAATTCATTCATATTATTTCAATTTCTATCATTTTTCTTTCACTGTTTTTTGAAAAGGAAAAAACTAATTCATTCATAATATTTCAATTTCTTTCATTTTCTTTCATTGTCATTGAAAAGAAAAATACTGAAGTAATATTTCATAATATTTCAATTTCTTTCATTTTTCTTTCATTGACTTTTGAAAAGAAAAAATACTAAAACTAATTCATTCATAATATTTCAATTCCTTTCATTTTTCTTTCATTGTTTTTGAAAGGAAGATACTGAACTAAATTATTCATACTGAAAAAAAGTTTATGATTTTCACCCTGAAATCCAACCAGCTTTTATAAGACTTTTTATGAAAGTGATAAAGATTTTGACCAGATTCCAAAGCACTGATGCCCATTAATGTTATATCAATAAAAGAGACCATCTAAAAACAGAGACTGAATAGGAGTTGACTGACTTACAGAAGGTTTTGGTAAGCATTACTCTGGCACACCAGCCAATAATTATGTCAGATAATGGAATCGGATTTAATTAAATCAGACGGTGCTAAATCAGATAATTAACAGTGATATTGTTTTTATTCATGTCTTATAATTTAATAGAGTTCTTGTAAGAATAAAAAATCCAGTTCTGTCTCGCATTTTCCCTGTTGTCAGCAAAGAGGAAAAACCTATTTAAATTATTTTTCAAATTCAAGGTGACTAAAATACTTAAATAGTGTAGAAATCTCTTTATCTCCCTCTCCTACAAACACATGCATATGTAAAAAACATATATATATATATATATATATATATATATATATATTACAGGAATACAACAAAATAATTTTTGGTAGAATTTTTGAGATGAGCAATTATCATTATTATATGTTTTGCTATTTGGACCAGCATTTTCATCTTCGTTGTTATACTCACAATGTTTTCATCATTCTAATCCCCAACCTTCTTTCATTATTCATATCGTAATTCTTGAGATGAGCAATTATCATTATTCTATGTTTTGCTATTTGGAAGACCTAAGAGTGCAAAACAAAATAAAAAGTCATCTCTGTTGCGGTTCCAAGCATCACATCCACTCCATGAAAGAGATCACCGCAATAAAATACAGTAGCTAATTATGAACATTCCCATTGGAGAAAAGAGGACCCTTCATCCACCAGATTTGCTTAAAGAAAAGCCCCTAATATGATATAGAGTAGTGTCCTCTTTTGTAGGGGTGGGATCAGTTTACAATGAATTCAAATAGAAAACTGAAGCCTGTATTAATGTTTATAAATTTTAATAAAACTTTTTTTTGTTATTTGTGATTGGAGTGCTTAATCCATTATTCTTCTTCTTTTATATGCTACATCTCTTTGGGACATAGGCGATCATGGCTCTCCACAACTTTCTATTTTGTGTCTCTTAGCAGTTTTTCTCTCTTTGCTAAGACCTCTGACCTCCATTGTGCCACCCATTCAAACAATCAGGTATATGGTTTGCTGCCTTACCCTATTTCTCTTGCCCTCAATAAGTCCCGTTTTTTTTACCAAACCTTCCTTCCACATTATATATCCAAGGAATTTCAGCTGTCTTTTCATGATTCTGAGTAGAAGTGTTCTTGCTTTTGCCTTTTTCTATAAGATTTAAGACTTGTTGCTTACTCACTCTGTCTAGAATTCTCCGCATCTTTTTGTAGAACTGTATTTCTGCTGCCTCCAGTTTTCTTTTCATCCATGGGGAGATTGTCCAGTATTCACTGCCATATAAGAGAATGAGTAACACTTGGAAATCCAACACTCTTTTTTTAACCAAAATTTTCAGTTTATCAACACCTTGCTTAACTTTTGGAATGCTTCTTTCACTAGTTCATTGCATGTTTGGATTTCAGTGTCGCAAAAATACTTTTTAGGGGTCTGAACTTCTGCACCTGGTTGAAGTTTATCTCTCCAATTTGTAAATTGTTCTCTTGCTGATGACCATACTTTCTGTCTTCTTGCAGTTAGTGGTTAGTGCTTTTTTCCCCAATTTCTTCTCCTACCTTGTTTATGAATAAAAGAAAAAACATTTGAAAAAAATGTATATTTATTTATGGTCACAGCACCTTATTGTACAACACCAACCAAGAAATATATCTTTGTTTTGAAGGTTTTCTTTCTTTGTTTTCTAATAAAGAAAAATAAATGACTAGACTGAGATAGATAGGGAAAGGCTGAGATAGATAGATAGATAGAGACTGAAATAGATAGAAAAAGGCTGTGATATAGACAGATAGATAAATAAATACATAGATAGATATGAATAGAATGAGAAAGAGAGAAACAAGACTGACATAGATATGAAAAGGTTGAGATAGAGAGATAGATGCATGTAAGTATTTGCCTGATATATGTCTTACCACCGTCTGTGTGTGTCTGTTCCTCTGTGTCAGTTTCTTTGTCTATATTTGTATACAACCAATCAAGGAAGTGTGTGAAAATGATTAATTTCTTATGGAATTAAGTGCACCATGCTCAAAAGATTATAGTATATGTGTGATACATATCTATTTTGTTCTATAGTAAGCAATAAAAATGATACAAAAAATATATTTTGCCATCCATTTTTTGTATTATATATATATATATATATATATATATATATATATATATATGTGTGTGTGTGTGTGTGAAAATATATAGAAAATAGGAAAGAACTCGTTAGGTAAATAATCCAAAGATCTTTAGTATTTTTGTTATTATTTTTAAAAGACAGTGCTCGATACAAAAGTAGAGCCAAAATATTACCCTGACTTGACCTCTTTGAATGTAACTGAGATATTGATGCAAATTATTAACCCTTACGCTTCTTTTTTTTAAATAATTGCTCTAGCCGTTACCATAGTAATTTTATTTTTAATAATGAATATACTTATAAAAACGCGTAAATTTCAAGAATTAGTTATTCCAAAAAAATTTCGCTTGAAGATGGAACAGATTCAAATAGTTATATTGAAGTTTTTGGTTCTTTTTTTTAAACATGAGAACTCTTATGTAGCGATGGAATCATATTTTTAAATAAATAATTAAAGAGAAAAGAGAGAGATGCACACAGATAATATATATATATATATATATATATATATATATATAAAATATCAAATTATATATATATATATATATATATATATATATATATCAAATATATAAATATATATATATATATAAATATATATATATATATATATATATATATATATATATATATCAAATATCAAAATTTAATTTTAAATTTGATATATATATATATATATATATATATATATATCAAATATCAAAATTTAATTTTAAATTTGATGCGATTAAAATGTTAATGCTACTATATTTGAAGATTTCAAATCAGATGGAACAGTCTTTGATCTTTGAGAGAATGACTTAAAGATAATTTACAATTTCCCAGTCTGCAGAGAAGCTCTGCACCTAATTGGCAAAGACATGAAAAGTATTCTTTTTTTTAATTATTTCACCCCATGCAAGACAGTAAAGCCACTAAGACAAAAGGGGCTACTGAATGTAAAAAAATTAGAAAACAGAAATATTATTAAGGAAGCGTAATCAGGAAAACAGTAGATGACAATTGACATTGCATCTAAATTTTTGAAGATCAAAATTGATTGGAAAGAATGGAGTTGGAAGAGAGTTTCACAAGTGAGAAATGTGATAGAAGAAACTGCTAGCATAGAACTTACAGTTACATCTTGCTACTTCAACTATAAAATGATGAGATCTTGCTGCAAATCTAGTACTGCACTTAAATTTATAAAATCTAGATACCATAGCGAAGAACTCATCTGAACAATTACCATGGAATTATTTATAGAAAAAGCACAGGGCAGCAATTCTATGATGGTAGAGAAGTGACTGAAGCTGAGATACCAGGTCATGACCAATAATATTGCTGATTCTTTGGATTTTATCAAGGAGCTCTAAATAAATAAGCAGGAACACTGAACCATATGTGGCAGCAATAGTCTTCAGCAGTTTTGTTAAACAAGATCCGAGCCACTTCCTCTATATGACTCCATCAATCTCTATCCTTTGTAACCTTTCCCTTATCAACCTCGCTTTGCTTCCCACATTTTTTTTGTTAAAAAACTAGATAGGAAATTTTGGCATTTTTCCCACTTTACACTTTGTAGTGCTGGATCTTTCAACCATACTTTGCAACTACTGTTACTACTAATTGTGTTTATACAATGATACTATCAAATTTATAAATTGCCTTTTTCAGTTTTTCTCTTTTTTTTCTCTTTCTCACTTTGTGTAGCAGTACAATATTTAATATGCTTGGGTTAACTTAGTATTTACACAAGGTGAAATAGACAAAAAATGTTGAAAATGGTAGAGAAAGAGTGTCATTTCAAACTTCCAAGTGGGGAGCGTCTACTTGTCTTGTGAGTCAGCTTGGAAAATATTAGCTTTTATCTGGCATTGAACTCCAATCAATGATACTGGCAATAAGTCACAAGGCAAGCTTCAAAATACATACGCACACACACACACACACACACACACACACACACACACACACACACACACGCACGCACGCACGCACGCACACACACTATATATATATATATATATATATATATGTAAAGGGCAAAATGTGTGTGTGTGTGTGTGTGTGTGTAACGAATGCAGGGCCGCAATTTTCGACGGATTTGCACCAAAATTTACATGCACATGCTCCAAGTTAGCAAAAAGGCCAAGACCAACTTTGCATTTCCCAACTCCCATCGATAGTGGAAATAATCGATTTTTTTCATGCTTCTATGGCAGTTTTCATGTAGTTTGTGGCCATTTTCTACTGGTCAGAGTGAGAGCCTATAGCTGGCTGCCATGAATAGGTAGGAAGATTTTATTGGCCAGTGTGAGAGCCAACAGCTGACTGACACAAATGTTAACTAGCATGCTAGCATGCAAAAAAAATTGGTAGCTGCATTCATCACAAGTGGGAAAAATTTAAATCTGCATGGCACTTTACTCCAATTGACTCATTCGCTTGCTTAAACTCAACGTTGATTCTGATTCCACAGAACAGGGTTGGGTGTGAAAAGTATTTGTTGTTAACATTCTTTTTTCATTTGGTTTTTCCAGTTACGAGTCCTTTTTTAAAGCTGATCGCTTTGTGTTCATTTTGTTTAGTTTTTTTCCATAACAGATTTAATGTTTAGTATAGAGCTTAGAAAAAATTTGCAGTGTGAGATAGGCAAGAAGTAAGGCATGTAGCAACATCAGCAAAGGGCACTCCTTTAAAGGCAAGGAAGGACAAAAATATTTTAAGTCAAGTGATAGCGACTGCTGTATAAGTTGTACGATTTTTGAATCAAGCACGGGCAACGGCGGGCCATGCTGCTAGTATATATATATATATATATATATATATATATATATACATACATGATAAAATATATTTTTAAGGTATGTTATACTTATGGGGAAAACTGCTCAATATTCAAAGCATGTAAGGTTAAGATTGAGTGAGCACACACAGACTGTTTTATACCTGAATGCTAGAATGCTGCATATATATATATATATATATATATATATATATATATATATGTCTTTGAAGAAATATAGTTTTACGGTATGCTATATTCATGGGATAAAGTGCTCAATATCAGAAATAGAGTGTATATAAATATAAAATATAAAAGTGGACATTGTGTACTCAGAGGTGACAGACTGTTTTCATGCCAATAGCATCATCAGGCCACTTGACGATTGCATTTACCATGAAACAGTCTGTCATCTGTGTGTTGACTTCAATGTCCATTTATATATATTATATATATATATATATATATATATATATATATATATATATATATATAGTAAATTGCTGAATCCTCCTGAAGAGTGGGTTGAACAATTGCTGAAACTTAATCAGCCAAGAGTTAGATTTTATTTGTATTAACCCGATATATATATATATAATGTAAGGATATTGAAAAACTTAATAAAAAATTTATTAAATCTTCCTTGTCTGCCATATTTAATAAAAGATGTTTGAAAAAAAGTTGCTGCCCAAATATACATTAATATATATATATATATATATATATATATATATATATATATATATATATATATATATATATATGGTTGGATTGATGTGAGTTTGTGACCCTGGGTTTCATGTTTTTATGATCGTCAGAAATAATTATATATATATATATATATATATATTTATTTTATATTTATACACACACTTTTCACACACACACACACACACACACACACACACACACACACACACACACACACACACACACACACACACATATAATTGTGCATTTAGGCAGCAATCCCTGCTTTATACAAGTTTCATTTGACAAGGTACTGTATTTACTTTTGTTGGCTGCCAGCTCATGTAATTTAATAATTGTGTATTTGGGCAACAATTCCTCTTTTGATATAAGTTTCATTAAAAATGATTGACAAGTCAAGTAACTATAGCACTTTGTCAGTCAATTTTACTTAAACTTGCATATATATATATATATATATATATATATACACACAGTGGGGGAAATAAATATTTGTACACTTGAAAAATTGTATTTTTATAAATGTAAAAGCCTTAAATAAAACAAATCTCGGCACATTTTATGTATAAATACACATATCATTAAAAAATAATAATAAACTTAATTAATTCTTATTCTAACAGAAATTAATGCATTTTTTTTTATTCTAACTAGTGAAAAAAGTATTCGTATAAATCAATTATTATAATAAAATAATCAATTAATTATGAAAAAAGTATAATCTAGAATGTTCCAGTAATGTTATCAGTAATTATAGTTAATGCTATTAGCCATCATCAGAGCATTCTGCAATTTCTAGTCTTACGAGAAGGTTCTAATAATGTCTAAAGGTAAAGAATTGACTATTTCACAAAAACACCACATTTTGTCTCTTTGGAAAGATGGGAACAGTTACAGAACGATTTCTAACAACCTGAATATTTCTTTTACTACAACTGCTTTGTTCATTGCAAGGTTTAAAACTTGTAACAGCTTCGAAAACCAAAGACAAACAGGTGCTCCGAGGAAGATTTCTCTAAGATCAGCAAGGATATTAGGATGCCAGATCCAACAAAATCCACAGATTACCCAAGAAGAGCTGCAGGAACACTTGCGTGCATTAGGGATTAAAGTAACCAAGTGTACAATAATTAATGAACTACACAAAAACAGTTTGAAATCACACATCCCAAGGAAGACTCCACTCCTCTTGAAATGACACAGAGATATTAAATTCATTAGAGAGCATAAGGATAAAGAATATTTGTTTTGGGAAAAAGTACTATGGACAGATGAAACT